AGGAGTCATAATCGTATCACTTTCTAATTTTATTTTCATCCTAATCATCCTAAGTCAAAGTAACTAAGGGTTCATCTTAGGTGTCTAAGTCATTACCTTTGTTCTAAGCATGAAGGTGCATGCGGAGGTTGAATGATATAGATTTGATACATGATCTCCTCCTTTCAATGTTGCTTTCAGACTTTGAACTTGATAGCATCATGACTATGGATTGGTTTAGATTTTACAATAGACTCTACGAAATCAACCAATGACAAATATGATCTAACAAATAGTGGTCTCAAGTTTTGATACATGTACAGAAAATTCATCATAAAATGGATCATTTAAAGAACAACACCTTATAACGGGATTATCTTATGTACACTGGTTGATTAGAAAGAATTCATACATCAATATATGTGGTCCACCCCATCATAAACACAAACCATTTAATCAATCATAGCAGTGGTACGATATTTTAGGAAGTGTGTACATTGATGAATCCATATTTAATGAAATCTTCTTAGGAGTAGTTTACTAACCTTTAGTCTCAAACATATGTGAACAAATAGTGATTTGAAACCCTACAAAAAATCAACACCCTAGTACGAGTGGTAGGGAACCTTCAAACCCCTCGAGGTAAGAAACTCATCTAAATACTTTGCAATACAAGTTCAAGTGTATTCAAGCTCATTAATCTCACCAATACAAGAGATTTATTCACACTTTTCAAATTGATCACATGTATCACAACATTGTTGAAAAGTCAAAAAGCAATGAGAATTTTAAGCAAACACACATGAGATCGCAAAATACACATTCTCAATTTGAGATTATTCAAGATCTAAGGTTTGTGAATACAATACGTACATGAAATCAAAAACAAATACTTTTATAACCAGGAATCTAAAAAATAATTGCCGATCTATATTACTTATACAACTTGGAGTCAAAAGTGCATATAATAGTCATAGCCTCAATGAATAGGAAGGGGAAAGAAACCCTACCTTGATTCTATAGAAAATTAATTTTAAAGTGCTTTATGGAATTTCCTATGGGTGGAACTCGTGTAAAAATACCCTAAAACTGACCCCTAGGGTTAAAATAGTGCCAAAATAGGTTAACGATGCAAAACTACTCGAGTCAAGTTTGCATGCACATCTAAACACGCTCTTTTACATTCCAAACTTCCAACCTGATTTTGACCTAATTAGAGGTCAATTCACAGTTTTTTTTTCATGAAATGCACTCTTTTTTTCAATAAAGGATGAAAATTTTATTTCTAATCACCAAAAAACATTACAAGAAGCAAATGGAGAAAATCCTATACAAACCTCCTTCAAAATATGTAAAACCAACAAAACTTCTCTTAAAAAGAAAAATTCTATACAAAATCCATATACAGTCATTCTATCTTAGCCTTTATCATAAAAAATGAGCACATTTTTGACTCAAGCAACTGACAGCCTTCTTCGGTCCTGTAGTAGCATCAACTTGACCATTTTCGGCAACAAATCAACATATGAAAAATCAGAAGTGAACTGATCCTTCACAACCCTGTTTGCCAAACATCAGCAACCCCATTTGCTACTCTATACACATGAAATAATTGTGAATCCATATTCCCCAATGGCTCCTTAATCCTGACCAAAAAACCTTGACATGGCCATGGACATGCCAAACCATTCTTTACAATGTTCACAAGCACCATTGAATCCGACTCAATCACAAATTTACAATCAACTAAACCATATTATTCAATTAAGCACAAACCATCCATTAGTGCCCTGAACTCAATCTCCTTGTTCAAACATATACCATAGAAAAAAGAGGCAGTTGCAACCATTCTGCCAATCTCATTTCGAACCACCACTCCCCCACCAGCAAGCCTAGGGTTTCCCTATATTCATTTTCAGCATACCTATAGAAGGGCACCACCAGCAGACCCGGGTAATTCTAGCCTGAATCTAAACAGAGTAATCAATTATAAGCAGCTCCAGTAAATTCCTCCCTAAATCATCTTTAACTTTCGGCTTTATATTCTTACTTTGATATCAAAGAATACTACATATCCGTAAAAACATGGAATAAGACACAGTTTTCCCTTCCCCTGCTACCCTTTTGCACCTTTCTTGCTACACAGTTTTCATGAAATGCACTTTTTATAGAACTTGAAGTCTTTTTTTCATTGCCAAAAAAATCAGCTCAATTGAAGATCGAGGTAAAAAATTATGGTCAAAATACTAAGGTAATATCAAATTCTTTCTTTATTAAATTCTCTTCAAAATTGGTTCAAGCCTCGGAACACCTCCAAACTTATTTTCTTTAACTTCTAACCTCTAAAACTATCTTAAGTGATTTTGGAACACTTGAGATTCACATTGAATCACCAATATCTCAATAAATAACTATTATCGATCCTCTACAAAATAAAGTACCCAAAACACCAAAATTACCATATCACCCATCCAAACCAATATACAAGTTTTCTCGACCTTCCAAATTTAATGGTAATATTATTTTAACCTAAAAATTTCTAAAAAATTACCTATCATTCTCAAGGCTAAACGCCTTCGAAACTAAATTTAGCCCAAAAGTTAATACACCTGAAACTCAATCTTCACGACTATTCTTTTAACAATAATTCAAAGTTTCTATCATTATTTTGGTTATTTTATAAAGCCTCTTGAAATAATATTATCCATATTTAATTGTAGTATGAAGTTTTGCAGAAAGCCTTACAAAAAAAAAAAATACTATGATCTAAAGAACGAAAAATAAGTTAAAGATACTCAAAATTGGTTCCTCAGATCTAAAGAAATAGATACAGACTGCTCAATTTGGGGCTCCATTAGCCTCAAGGAAATAATGAATGAATCAAGTAAGTTGCAAACAAAAAAAATTCTCGAAACAATAAAGATATTGAAAGAATACTTTTTATTACTAATCAAAAGAAACAAATTAATGATGAAAGAATCTACTAGAGAAGATTGCATCTTCTCTAAATGGGCAAGAGTTCTTACAAAACATAGAATGAGTGAGTTCTTCCAAAATACAAAGTTTACGAATAAAAACTACAAAAACATCTACCGTAAAAGGAATAATAATAGTTTTTATAGAAACTTTGGGAGTTCAAAATCCCAAGTAGAGAACAAATCATAAAGGGACTGGTCAATGATCACCTCAAGCTAAGAGTTTGGTATAATTCAACCAAGAAAATAAGTTACGGTGTTTTGAAAATGAATTTCTAGAAGCCTTGAACACTAGATCATCCAAATATCTAGAGTGAATGTCTGAATGCCTCTTAAAGGCTAAGGCCAGAAAGCACGAAGATTAGTCTATAGCTATATGAATTTGCATGTTAGGCCAAAATGGCACAAGGAATAGTTATTCCCTGGAATTCATTAAATCAAATTAATCCTTGAAAAATTATGGCAAGAGGAGCAGGAACTTATAAAATGGACCAATTTGATGTTCAAAGAAATATGAATAAATCTAACAAAATTAAGAAGGAATCCATTGAAGCATCACTAGCATTTGAGATAAAAGAAATAACAAATAAATATTCAAACATATTATTGATCCTTAGCAAAACGTTATTTTATTAGAAGAAAATAATAGGATTATAGGTCCGTGTGCATTTTATAGTATAACTAAGCACACCTATATGTTCAACACCCTTGCAAATGGTTTAATAAGAAACTTACCACGAACTAGTTAGTCTTAGAAGACATTGAAGAAAGCATGAAAGAATTGGTAGAAGGAGGCGATGGATATGCCATAGGCAATGACACACTTGACAATAATAGATATCAAAATCTCGAAAAGTGTAATTGAATGATAGATTCCCCGATAAGGGTTAGTGGAAAAGGACATGTCTCACATTAATATCCAAGAAACTTTAAGAAACCATTTGTAAAATTCTATAAAATTTGAATCACAATTTGGGAACCAGTTCAATTCCTCTATAAAAAGGAGGTTATCGACATTATAATTGACATCAAGTCATCAGAGTTCATTGGGTTCATAAGAGTTTAGCTAAATATTCTATTTTTAGTATCTATTCAGAGTTTTGAATGTTATTTTGAGTGTTATGTGTGAGTGAAACTTCCCTTTGGAAAGTAAGTAAGGTCCTTGTAATCTTCTATATATTGAATAAAATTGTTTAATAGAATATATTTGTTAAAATTTCTCTCAAACTGTCATTTCCTACAATCTTAGTTTATCTTTTCTCTTTATCAACAGAGATAAAGGTTATTTGGTTATAATGATAGTAGAAAGAATTGATGAATACCAGAAGATGTCATGTGTTTTTTCAGTAGTTCAAAGATGAATATTAGTACTTAAAATCTAGCTTGGGATATAACAAGGATGCTGTTCCCAAAACGACAACGTTTTATCGTCATTTTATGCATAAAACGGTTTCATTTTGAGGAACAAGAAGCATTTTTCAAAAATCAACGGCGAAGGAGGAAAAAGTAAGGTGGACCTTGAAAGGTAAATATACCTGAAAACTGTTCAATTAGTGGTATGATAAATTCTAATTTAAATATTACACGTGAATATTATCCTAATTTGACTATTATTGGAAAGAGGGATTAAAGCATTAAAGCAGCAAAACTGTGAACTAGAATCACAACCAATAACCTTATTTTACTTGAGAGTAACAAGTCTTCGACTTAGAGTACTAAAAAACTAAGATAATGATCAAAAGAAGAAAACTTAGAAACTTAGATGCCTGTTAGATAGACTTTGTATAAGTTAGTGTAATATTACATTACTTGGTGTAGTTATTGTATTATCTTAAGCTAGGGGTAAATTGTCTAATATATCAACTGGACAAATGAATGAGGATGAGACAATAAATAGTCAAATTGAAATAATAAACAATTTAGGGGCCAAATTAAAATAAAGGATATAGTATGGGGGTCATTTAGCTTATTAACCAAAAACTAAATCTAAATGGTTCGAATGAAGAGAAACGGAAAAAGAAGAATTTTTAGGCTGCACACCAGTCCGCACACGACACACCCTCTCTCTCTTTCTCTCTCTCAGGTTTTTTTGAACTTAAGATATCTATGAGATTAGGGTTTCGAACTTCAAAAGAAGAAATACACCAATCCTTTTTTTTCCCTCAAAATTTATTGTTCGAATACATTTCCTTCTTTTAATTTCCCCATTTTCATTTGAACAAGAATTTGACACTTCTTCTAAATTGCTGTGACCAAAGTGTCTATGTGAAACCCAACTTCCTCTCTCTAAATTATTACCATGAGCTTCGCTGATCCATCGATGGCATTGCTAGCTGCGAGCGGCGGCGACACTGTGAAGCTCTTCGACATTTCTGTCGAGCCACGCGATCCTTGTACCTTAAGTTACACTCCCTCGCCGGGTTACCAAGTCAACTCCGTCAAGTGGAACCATACAAGTGAGGGTTCAAACTTACTATATTTACTCTTAATTTGATAAATTTGCTTGATTGATTATAATGGGTTTTGAGTTTAATATTCAATATTTGAATTTTTGCTTAGTGGGTCTCCAAGGGGACGTGTCGACATTGCAGATTAATTGTATACAACACTCAAGTTGATAATAATTTTGGTTGTTATAGTGGTTTTTGTTTTGTACGTTCAATTTTTGGGCTAAGGGTGTCTCAATTGGGATTTGTGGTTGTTGTAGATTTGGTGGTGGCAAGTGCCGGAGACGATAAGAAGATATCACTGTGGCGGGAAAATGGGCAGAGTATAGGGACCATTCCGGTGGCAGGCAGTGATAGCGGTGATAACATTGAGGTAATCGTCTGGTTCGGGAAGCCTAATATGTATATGAATCTGTTTTTCGTATGTCTACTTTATATTACAATGGGGAGGATAATGAAATTGTCATCAAGAATCTATGAAGCACGAATACTTGTCGATGTCGATGCACCTGTATCGAATACACATCATCCGTATCCAATAATTAATAAAATATGTGGATATTTCAACACATGGAGTAAGCTCTACAATTTTTAATTTTAATCTATACCCTTTCTTTTCAAGTTTTCATACAATACAAAATATTAACAAAATTCAATTTGACTTTGAAGACATGAGTGGTTTTAAAAATATTATCTATTATTATATGTCAAAAGAGTATCAACAAATGAAGTAGTTACACTATAACTTTAGAAACAAATACTTGTAAGCAAATCAACTAGTTAATTGTTGGTTCTAATTCCTTTACATGGTTATGTTCATCGGATGAATATATCATAATAAGACAATATTACACTTTTTTCAAAGTAAAAATTGCTAATTCTGTTTATTATTATTAAAGAATTACTAAAAATTATAATTTTTAAATTGTTAAATAATAGTAAAATATAAAATATATTTTATTATAGACGTATTCCAGCCGTATCCGTATCTGGATCCTATTTCTTAAGGTGGTGTTGTATCGTCGGACCAGTATTTTATTATAACCGTATTGTGTATCCATGTCCATGCTTCATAGGCAAGGATACATTGAAGAACACTAATGGTAAGGGGAATGGCTCTATTTTGATGGTTTAGGACCGTATTTTGATTACAAAAAATATGTTCTTGGGAAGTGCAAAAAACTTTTTGTCAGTGTATGTGTTTTTGTGTTGGATCTAATTTAGTAGACATGACGTATATTCTCCGAACTTCACCTGTATATATCAATGGGACAAGTTGAGTCATACTGCGATTTGACTAGAATCTCAATTCCATATTGAGTTAAATTTTCCCTCCTTTAAGCTATGAAGATGAACAGAAACACCAATCAAAAAAAAAAAGTTGTCTGGAAACTCCATTACCTATATATTTTACTTAAAAATCCTCATTCCTGCCTGCAAATTGAACTTTAAAATCAAGAATATATGGGTAATATCAAAGACAAAAAGTGTTTTAACAAGCATATCCATTGGACTTAAAGTTCCATTAGACTCCGAACTGTGGACAATAGTACCATTGCATTGGCTACGATGTCTGAATGATATCTTTAAGAAGGTAATCTTGACTAGGTTTTTCAAATTAGAACTTTTTCCATTTAATTGGATCAGTGTAATGGATCCAATGGGCCACGATTGGTCACCAGGAAGAGCTGTGGTGAGAAATATATCCAAATTATTGGAATTCCTCTGTGACATACGTGTTAATTTGTTTTTGATCTGGCTGTACTTTTTACTCCATAATGTTTGCAGGAGTCTATATACACTATCAACTTTAGCAACAAAGGATCCAGGTACATTTGTTCTGGAGGAAGTGGCCGAGTTGTAAGAATATGGGATTTGCAGCGAAAACGCTGTATCAAATGGCTGAGAGGTCATACCGATACGATAACCGGTGCAATGTACAACTGCAAAGACGAGCACTTGGCTTCTGTCAGTCTTAATGGGGATCTTATTCTTCACAACCTTGCTTCTAGTGCAAGGGCTACTGAACTCAAGGATCCTAATGGACAGGTGGTTTATTTTGCTTTGGGACTAACTATTCTGGAAAGCCACTAATAATTGTAATCCTTTTTTGGCATTGGCTATTTCTTTACTTTCGCTCTCTCATATGCTAGATGTTTGTCTGATGGTTATGGGACCAGGTGTTGAGAGTGCTTGATTATTCTCGGATTAGCAGACACCTTTTGGTGACTGCTGGTGATGATGGGTCCGTTCATCTGTGGGATATGACCGGTCGCAGCCCAAAGGTTTGATATTTAATATTTGACTGCCTTTAGATGACTAAATATGATATCACCACATTAACTATTTCTCACCAAACATAGTGTGGTTATTCCCATTAATTGTAAATTATGAGATGAACTATAGGTGTATAGCCAGCCTATTATTCAAATACTTCTGCAAGCAATGTGCAAAGGGATTTCTCATGATTTTGATCATATATTTTACTTATTTTTGACTTGGCTCAATTCTCGTATGTGTGGACGAAATTGGTAGGAGTATTTTGGACCTTACTGCCGGTACAGATGCAAGAGGGTGATAGCGTTGGGTTTGGAAATACATGTCATCAAGTGTGTTACACTATAATATATATACGTATACATAGATTATGTGGTGTATATAAAATATAATATACATAAAACATTTATGTTTGGGTTGTGCTGCATTGGGCAGAGGACGATCCAAAACGCGAAGGCTCACCCAGGTGAAGGAAGGAGCTTTAGAAGCTTACAGTCTTGTTAAAAAGGGAAAGAGGCAATCTATCTTACTAATAATAAGAAAGGGTGTGAGATAGGCAACAAGTGGCTTGTTTCCTGGCCAGAAGCAACGAGCAGTTGCGGTTGAAGCTTGACTGGCTCTAGGCTATATTTTAGATATGGAATAAAAAACATTTTTTTTTTGCTCTTGAGAAGTTAGATTTTATAAAACTGGATGTATTTTAAGAGTCAATTTTAGAATAGCCTTAAAAACATTTATTTGATATATAGTATTTGATTCTTTTATGTTTCAAATAATTTTTTTTTTTAATAATTTATCAGTTCAATGATATTGGTTAAGACCAACTTCCGTATAAAATATAAATTAACAGCTTTTTTGCACGCGTGAAAAGTGGAGTGGTGCAGTGGAAAGCACTTTTGTTTGATTTAACTTGGTTGCGTGTTTCATTACCGTCACCTACGAATTCATTTGGATATAGGGATAAGTTTCAGTCTATCCAACTGCGCTGTGATAGCTTAGATCTTCAATCATTAACATGACATTGGCGGGTTTAGAGATCTTTCAAAGTCCATGCTTTTGATCACACTAACCCATTATTTTAATGCAGATTCACACTCAACTCACTGATTCTAGTTCGGTGCAAGGCAAATTAGTGCACCATGTTCTGAACCATTTCTTGTGGTTTTATTCTGTTTAGCATGCCAGTCTTAATTTGGAGACCAGGGTTGAATTATAGAACGAAGTGACCCACTTTTCATGCACCATTTTTATTTACTCTTTAGGTTGATATGATACGTGTCTGCAGTTTGTTTCATATATTTGAACAACAAAAGATGCAATAAGTTTTAATGGCCATTTCTTCACTTCACAGGTTTCTTGGTTGAAGCAGCATTCTGCACCAGCCTCTGGTGTTAGTTTTTCACCATCAAATGATAAGGTTTCTTGTTGATTATGCAGTTCTACTTCATATTTTTGCGTAAAATAAAAATCTTCAAAACACCAGTGAAAAATGTTATTTTTTGATGTCGTTTATTCAAAAGAGAGAAGATATTTTTCTCCAAGGTCAATATTTGGGTTGCATCCTGCTGTTCCTTACTTTACTCCAATGAACTGTGGCAGATAATTGCTAGTGTCGGTCTGGATAAAAAGTTACACACTTTTGACTCGGGAACTCGGAAACCCTCATTTTGTATTCCTTATGAGGCACCTTTCTCTTCCTTAGCATTTAGAGACGATGGATTGGTACTGGCAGCAGGAACGAGCAATGGACGAATTGTATTTTATGATGTCCGTGGAAAGCCACAACCTTTAACTGTTCTTCGTGCTTATGGCAGTTCTGAGGTGATTTTCTTTCATTCAATTTCAATCTCTTAGTTGGGATGTCTTTGTTTTCTTGATAATCATTTGGCATATCCTTTTCTGCCTTTGTGAAAAAGCATGTGTTGCTAGAGTATTCTACATTAAGAGTGCCTATTCTATGTGGCAAACAGTGACTTAAATTAGTTGGCCTTTTTTCATACTACCAAAAAGCACAACAATCTTGCACAGAAAAAATAAAAAATGACAATAACACAATCTGTTGCTTCGTAAGATGAACACTACATTCATTCCTTATCCCTCTAATTCAGAACAACTAAATTATCCTCTGCCTCATGTCATATTAGGGGGCGAGTGGCATTATTTATTGCTTTCCGCTGGGAAATCCATGCTTCTATTTTTGCTATACATCTTACTTCATAAGTTTTTTACTTTTTCATGTCTGTTCTTATGTTTCCATTTATTAGTGTTTCACTTGCCAACTCTAATGGCTACTTATCGAGAGGGACTTTTGGTGACATATTTTTTTTATAATTAACAAAATTAGTTACCATTTTTGAAACATGGAATTCAGAATAACCTCTAAAGAGGTAGATAATAGTTTCCCCATTTCTCAAACTCAATTAGTCTTTTTGTACTGATTAAAAACATGAATCTGTTATCTATTACCGATATTGAATATAAATCTTCATCCTATAATACTATTTAACTTCTACAAGTGGCCCACCAATTGAAAAGCAGGCATAAGAGTGCTTTAAATATAAGATTACAAAGTTATATAGAACATCCTCGATTTCTCAAAAAGCAATAGTTATGTTATCCCAGAATGACTAGTATATATGAAAAAGATCGATTATATTAGGCCAAATAATTCTTTCACAGGTTTGAAACATGAAATGCTGGAAGTCTCTCTTAAAGACTGCAGAGGTTAACTGACCCAATATAGGTATCAATTGAGCTTTTTTTATAAATTACACAAACCAACCTACCCATCCCTCCAGAGCAACATCACAAGGTAACTAACTGGTTGTGTTGAGAAAATGAAATGTGCATAATGTCTTTACAATTGCCCCTTTACAGTACCTATTGTACTATACAACTTTCCTACTTCCACCACCAACTGGTTGAATATACAAATTCTTTTTCTATATTTTTTTTTCCTCAGCCTAGCATCACAACTCTACTGTTTTTGTACATCATAATGACCACACAAAACCATACATCCAACCACCAAAATCTCCAATTCAATCATGGCAGTAAATTCTTCCAAAATCAATTTCCATACCTCTGAGTCCAGAACTTGATTCACATATCCCCTGTGCCATATGAATCCAACTCTTGAGAGAAAGAAACTGCGTGCATGTGTGTGTCTGAGAGAGAGCTAAAAATGTAAGTTCTTGGTATAGGTTCATAATTTCTCTTCAAGCTTTTTTGATTCCCTACGTTTTTCTGTTTTTTGGTAAATATCTCCTAGTGTGGAGTGCACTGGATCACAAAATACTGTCATGGAAAAATAAATGATGCCACAAAGAGGGTTTTCATTTTAAATTTTATATGTTCACTAGGGAAGAAACTTGTCATTGCTTTGTTTCTTATAAATGTATTATGCTTAAATCGTTAATGGTGTGAAACAATCCTTGTGGATAAGGAGGCTAGTGCATTTTGAAACATGTTGGGTTGATAGCTCAAAACTTTTACCTGAATAGTTATGACGAGTGATGTTTGTCTATATGCTCATTTCATGCGCTGTTACACAACGTTCTGCTTATCAATGTCCATCCAAGGGTTTTAACTTTTAAAATGCATTTTTTTATTGATGATGCAACTTTGCTGATTCACATCTGATTTTTTTATGGTAATTAACCTTATCTTGTGGATAATAATGTATTCTTACGTACATTAGGCTGTCACAAATCTATGCTGGCAAAGATCAAAACCTCTCGTTGTAAATGAAAACAATTGCACATCTGAGACTGCTCTCCTGGGAGGTGCTGTAGAGGATTCAATTCTTATGCCTGACCCGCTTCCCTCTGTAACATCATCAACCCTTTCAACATCCACCACAGTATCTGGTTTTCGCAATCCTGGTCGTTTAGGTGTCTCTGCAGAGTTATCTTCTTTTCCAGCCGCCAGTGGTGGATCTATATCAAGCACACTCAATTTATCTACTGCAGAGGTGACACCAATTCAAAGCAGTATTTGGACAGGTGGAACTTTAACAAGATTACATGCACCTCGTAGTTATAAGGATGATATGGAGGTGTTTTCGCCACTTGTGGAAGTTCAGCCAATTACACCCTCGCTTGATAAGCTGTGGGATGACCAAGGGGGAGCAAGAAAAGATCATGATAAGAAATCTTCTCTGTTGTTTCCTTCGTCTAGGAGATTCCCGCTTTCAGATGAAGGGGCCAATGATTCTAATCCAATATTCGATTGGAAATCTACTTCAACTTCCAGACAGGTGTGCTGATAAGAGATTGCCTACAGTTGACATTTCCAAAAAATATATGACATGTGAAAATTTAAAAGAGAAGAATTTGGAAAACATATGACATGTGAAAACGAAAAGGAAAGCAATATAAAAACCAGTTGAAGGACAATTGATTTCAAATCAGAAAATGCATTGGGATTCCAAGTATGATGATTTAGTCTGGGACTAATTTTTATTGCTTTATTTGTACTTTTCGATGTGAAGTACATTTTGTTTATCAGCACCATGCATGGATGTCAATTTGGATGTGAGCTAAGTCTTAACGGACCATTCCTTGTCAAAATCACAAGATACTAGTATATTGAATAGCCTACATTTACTCCTTATTAGTACTTTTGGAATGCTGTTGTTGGGTCAAGTAATTTAACGAAACAGTGTAAACACTAAAGAATTCATTCTGCATAGTCAGACTCCATATGACAGGTATTTTTTGTGAGGCTAAGTTGTAAAATAAAATCAAGCAAAAGATACCTAATTACGTGATTTCATGGAAGTTTTGTGCATATTTTTTGTGAGGCTAAGTTGTAAAATAAAATCAAGCAAAAGATACCTAATTATGTGATTTCATGGAAGCTTTGTGCATATAGGAAAATTCATTTTGTTGTTAGGGTTGTTGGTTACCTAATCAGGTTGAATCTTGGTCAAAAAGAAAAAAAAAAGAAAAAGATGAGACGGAGAGGAATAAGAGAAAGAACGGGTAGAAGAAACTAAAAAGATGAGACAGAGAGGAAGAAGAGAAAGAATGGGGAGAAGAAACTATCATAATGGAAAATGCTTGTTATAATGTTGCCTGTATATGCCTGTTATAGTGTTGGCTATATACAGTTGCACCTGTTTTGTATTGAAGTTTCCAAAACTAAAAATTATATAAATAATGTATGACTTGTATTTGATTTTTTAAGACTCTTCTTCTCAATGCAAACATGTTTTATTTGTCCACACTCAATGCAGAATGACACCTGTTCTTCATTCTTGCAGTTGGTATCAACTCCTACGGCACCTTTGAAGATTGATGACTCTTCCTCCATAACTCCTCCAGAGGCTTGGGGTGGTGCAGGATTGCCTGATAAATTCACGTACCACCATCAGTCGGTTACTATACCTTCTCGTTTGGCAATGTTGACATCAAGTAGTCTGATATCAGGATCAATGTTTTCTGGATTGCAAGATTTTTCTACTAGCCAGATAAATACGAGCTTTGCAGCAAATTCAAGCGTGGGTTTGGCAAATTTGCATTCCAAAGACACGTCCTCCAATCCAGAGACTTCAATTGGATTTTCAGATCATATTCCCTTCAGTCCCACTTCTCTTTCTCTAGGTACAAAAGGCATTACAGGGCAGGCTAACCTGGAATCTGTGGGACCAGCATTGACCCTCCCCCGAAGATTTTCCAGTTATGCCGAGAGAATAAGTGCCACTCCATCCTTTAGTGACGGAACATCTCTGTCAGTGAGTTCACCAAAAACTAAGAAAACAGGAGCGGAAACAAGGGAACAACTTTTGAATAGCTTATTGTCAAGGTCTGATGTATCATCTGCTGCAGAAGCTGGGATTCTTCCGGCCATGAATGTATGAATTAATCAGATTGCTGTATGATTTCTATTTTTTAATTTTCCCTCTGCTGCATCCTACTATTGAGGTGTTTGGTTGCGGATGTGAGCTTCACAGATCGATTGTGATGACTCGTTATTGTAGGGACTTCCACCATATTTTTTTCTTGAAGAGAAATTATTGTGCATAGGTCCATTTGATGGGCCAGCATTGATAGGTTGTTACTGTCTTATGCAAGCTGGTGAATGTGTCCTTGGTGATGAATTGTGTCATCTTTGTTATTTGGTGGTTGCCAATTGACGTCTAATTTTGTGTCAGGGTGGAATAACACAGCCTCAGAAGACAACAACACAGCCTGACGCACAGCAGGGATCTTCCTTTACTCTTCAGCTGTTTCAACGAACCCTTGAAGAAACTCTTTCTTCCTTTCAGAAATCCATTCATGCGGACATGAGAAATCTCCATATAGAAATTTTGAGACAATTCCATATACAGGAGGTATATGTATGGTATGATCCTTGGTATTTTTGTTGCTTTATCAGTTTGTTTGCTAACTTACAAAATCATAGCGCAGATGGAAATGTCAAGTGTGATGAGCACGATCTTGGATAACCAAGCTGAGCTGATGAAAGAAGTTCAGTCACTCCGCAAAGAAACCCAGCAACTCCGCCAATTATTATGATCATCAGCTGAGATCTTGTGTGTTTTCTTATTTATGGAAGTTGTTTTGGTGCTAGCTCGTGCTTTGTTTCCTGCATTTGCAATTCATTTGTGGGTGCCATGTTTTATGGAATGGGCCATAATGGTTTTGCTCTTGTGCAATTTCTAGTTGTAGGCACTGTAGTTGTGTGTATTTTTTTTTTTTTTAAATCAGTCTTGTTAGTGTATTCCTCGAGGCTGAAATAGAGAGGAAGTGTGGGTTTTTTTTTGTCGTGGGGTGAAAAAAGGGGGGGGGGGGGGGGGGGGGTGGAAGGATGGATGTACTAGAAAAAGTAAGGGAAACAGACAGTTAACCTTGGGCCTGGGCTTTGAACATGTATAGATGTGATTGATTCCGCTAGACAACTTTTATTTTGAGAAATTCATGTACAGATTATTCGATTTCTATTGCTCCTGAAGTGGTAATGCCAGTTATAATCAGCTCTTGTTGCACTTCTATATCCTCTATTTGTAATCTCTTGATATGGCATTCTCTTAAACTTATTTTTATCTCATGATATTAGATTAGTATGTTCTGCTTTCAAGTGAGGTTATCACAATATTAGTTGAGTAGGGTTAGCCGTATTGCATGACAAGTGTATCTCTCTCTCTCTCTCTCTCTCTCTCTCTCTAGTAGGTGGTTAAAATGTAAGTGAATATATTTATTCTGATTAAAAGGTTAAAAATATTCATTGTGCTTATAAAGTTAAAATGTAAAACCTAGGCTGTGCCAAGCATTAAATGTTGTTGTGGTTGAACTGTGGGCTATCAGGAAAGTTTGTGGCTTGGTTGGGTGGTTAGAGGGCATTCCAAAATTGTTTTGGATTCAGATTTGCAAACAGTCGTCCATGTTATCATATCTGCTGATCAGCACAATTCCCTTGGTCCTCAAAATGCCAAAAACTAGTGGAGGAAAAGTGGGAGTGGAAGCTGCAATACAGCACTGTTTGATCCTCAAAAGAGTGCACCAAAGTGTAGGTGGCCAAAAAAGCAATAAATATACTCGGTAGAGTCCGATGTCATACCATAGAAATCAAAGATAGTTTAGATAGAAAGTAAGGGAAGAACTATGAAAGAAAAATTGAAGATTGGATTTGATTTAGAAGAAATCACAATTTAATAAACGGAAATTTCAATTAGAAAAGGTGACCCTCTAACTTGAGGATTTTGATACATTCATATTCATTAGATAGTTATATTCATGCAATTCAAAATCATCTCAGTTAAATTTTCATGTCAGTATAGTCAACCGAAAAATATAATTTTGAAGAACAAATAATTTGATTGATTAGAAAATAATCAGAGGATTATATAGAGTATATGGTATTATTCATACCAAGATCTTAATCAATTTAATGAATAATCAAAGAATAGTACAAAACTTTTCTTAAAACATTCCATCAATTTTTGAAATAATAATAAAAATATAGCATTTAATCCAAAAGAAAGAATTGCATAAATATAATATGCAAATCACTTACATATAGATCTATACCCTATGTTAAAGAGTACAAAAAAATCTACTCAAAAGTCATGACAGATCACAAAAATTCTGAAAAATAGAGTGGAAAAAGCAAGGAGGAAGGTTTTTATACTCAAACTCTAGGGCTAGCTTAGGAGGTGTCCTTGTCGGGGTCGAAGTCTTGTAGATCAACTCCCAAAGTACGGATTGAGAAGGCGTTTCCGGACGGTAGGATCACGTTCGAACAATTTATATCCTCTGAAAAATCACATCAACAGGTGCGTCTGGACGCCAAGCTCGCATCCGGATGGTATCTTCATATCGTCATGGGTGCATCCAAATAGTTGCATTAGTGTACAAACATCTCAAATTCACTGGCCAAACTCGCGTCTGAACCGTGTTCATGCCTTAAAAATTTATCATCAATTATTGTCAATCCAATCATTGCGTCCAGAATCCAAATCTGCGTCCGGACGATTCCATATATCTGGACTTCTTTTGTTTTGCGTGCTCCTCCAAGCAAGGACGAATCTCGGTATGTCCTTGGTATCCAAATTGCTTCAAATCAATATCAAACACTCCAAATTGCTAATTGAATACTCATGGATTCTCTTTGACCGATTCTCAAATGCTTGTTTCACCATTCTCCTCTTATAGTGCTCTAACTCAACTTCTTTACTTCAGAAATGAACAAATCACTGGAACAAGAATCCGAGTAGAAAATTCAAGGATCTATCACCTATAAGCGCATATATTATGCAATTAACCATCCATTACACAAAAAAATCTAACACTTTTGATGGTTAATCACGCTCCTCAAGCTAAATATTACTAATCTCTAGTAACACATGGACCTAGAGAAACTAAAAAAAAAAATAAAACAGCTTAGTCAAATAGACATAAATCTATTTTTGTAGAATTCATGATTGCATTTAACACATGTAACAATCTTTTAAACTCCTAAATTCCCCTAGTGGACGAGTTATACTCTCGTGAAGGTTTCTTGTAAAGATATCTGTAAACTTCTACTAATTTATTGGTCACTTGAATTAAACATATGATTTTAACCAAACTTAAATCAGGAACATTTATAACCGGAACACCAATAAGTTTATTTCAAGTCGCATCATAGAATTAAAGGCTATATGATAGTAATCACATAATGGATTTCCATTGAAAGCTCTCGTGTGTAGTGCGCAAACCACCAATGCAAGATTAGATATTCATCCAAGAACACCCGACTTCTTTCACTATCTACGGTTAACTTTGATGCAACTCTTACCAAAATACACACTCAGCAATGAATTCACTTCACTTATAGTGACTATTAACACTTATAATACTGTATGTGGGTAGAGTTTATTAAAGATCAAAACAATAGATAGCTCACATACATCTTATATCGAATAACCACATTTTCAAAGAAAAGACTTGGCATAATCTCATGGAAAGAAGTCAATACTTTTCAATCTCTTCCTCACTTACACAAGCCATGCATCAACCAAGAAACTGTTGAGATTAAATAGGTTGTTTCTATGTTTGTAATAGGGCATTGGGACAAGGGTTTTGAAATAAAAGGTATCCATGAATTCAAATCGTCATCCCAAGAAAACATTACATTTCTCAACTATATTCTTTGATGACCTTGCACTCTTCAACCGTTAGAAGCATATATAATTTGTAAACAATTGCTCACACTTTTCATTTTTCTTCTCGCAACTCCATACATATTGTCTCTTTTTTTTTTCTTCAGTTTCTTTTATTTTTCTTCAACAGCTTTTCTTCCCAGCAAGTCAACAACATGCATGTATTCATAAGCATGAGAATTTCACCTCTTTCTTCAATTTCCCTTCAACCAACATCATTCACCTTTACATACATACAATTCAGCTCAATCCCAGGATAACAAAGATAGGGTGAAATATATCTTACTTCAGGCTTTGTTATACATAAAATTCATTTGAAATTTTTGTGCAATGTTTCATTGTGTAATTGCTAAGTTTTGAGAAAACCAAATCATATAATTAGATGTCAAATTTTGTTAAATTATGTTTTTTTCAACTAGGAAACATAGTGACTGTATTACATCTTTGAATATGGATAACAATTTGTATTGTTTGTTTTTTTAGAATGATGTAACAATATGATATTAAAGATTATCCACACAGTTACACTATATACTGATAACCTATTGTTGATAATTCACAGTGATACAACATACATTTACTTTTTACCTTGAACTTCTAATATGGCCAAGTAGGTATGATAGTGACATTTTAGTAACACACTATGGAACAGTATTGATACATTATATAATGAGCTTAATATTCAATTAATAATGCATAGAAAGCTTTATACACATTGGCAACGTATACTGGAAATGTTATAATGCTGTAATTTCATGTAACACTTTGTTGTAACTCTTTTAGAACCTAAAATAATGTCATTGTTTAATTTATAATATCACTCTTATTAGTGTCACTCTTTTAGAACTTTTTAAGTCATAACTCTATTACTTGGGTAAACATTGTATTTGTTGAATAATTCATAAAAGATTTATGTTTACACAAATAATAAGCTACAACAATTCCATTTTGAGTTTATGTTCAATGTCACAATATACAAACCTCAAATCAAAAATCCCAAACCATCATATTTTAGATAGTGTTTTAAATGATATTTAATACATAAAATTCATTTCAATTTATGTTCAATGTTGCATTGTGTAATTGCTATGTTTTGAGTAAACCAAATCATATAATTAGATGTCCTATTTTGTTAAATGATGCTTTTTTTCAACCAGGAAACATAGTTACTATATTACATCTTTCAATATGGATAACAATTTGTACTATTTGTAAATTTAGAATGGTGTAACACTATGGTATTGAAGATTATTCATATAGCTACACTATATACTGATAACTTATTGTTGATAATTCATAGTGATACAACATATATTGAATTTTTACCTTGAGCTTCAAATATGGCCAAGTAGTTATGATGGTGACAGCCTAGTAACACACTATAGAACAATATTGATACATTATATACTGACCTTTATATTCAATTAATAATGCGTGAAAAGCTTTATAACACATTGACAACATACAGTAGAAACGTTATAATGCTACAATTTCATGTAACATATTGTTGTAACTCTTTTAGAAACTAAAATAATGTCACTCTCTTAAAACTCTTTAAGTTATAACTCTGTTGCTCAAGTAATCATTGTACTTGTTGAAAAATTCATAAAAGATTTATGAAACTTAATCCACAGAGGTACAATGTATATAGATGACTAATTTAATGAATTGTATTTCTCATATATAACAATTAAATATACAACATATTGTGACTATTAAATTATTATTGAATAGAGATTAAAAAACATATAGATATAACATACAATGACAAGATATATTAATATTCAAATTTATTCTTAAATGTCTATTTTTTTGGTGTGAACATAGGACATGGCAAAAACATGATCTACAACAGCGAAAAACCCCCAGAGTAAACGAAGGGGAATGTTGGCAAGGAATGTGGTGGGGTCAACATCTGGTAGAACTGATAAGGAAGCAATAAAGATGCTGAAACAAGTGTGAAGGAAATGTCACTAGACCCACAGTACAAATCAAACATGCTTGCAATCATAAGAGCAATACATGAAATTGTGTTGCAGGAAGAACACAAAATGTCGTTGCGGAAAACTCCTTTTTGGTTGATCTTTGAAAGTATCATAAAGAATAATTTTGTGAAGTCATGGTGCATGAAACGT